ATGAGGGCTTCCACTTCTCTAGGCAGAAGGAAGTACAGAGGCTATTAAAGTTGACAAGCAGCGAGTGCATGAGACTTAGCAATTTTCATTCTTCTACATTCTGTTTATTTACAGGCGTTTAAGCTGAGTAAGATCCAGACACTGTGTTTGCCTTGAAAACAGCATCAGTTGCACGCTCAAGCCACTGCCTGGTGCCTCACCCCTGCATACACAGTACAAGATTCTTGGATCGAAACAGGCCACAACTTTATTGATTACAGGTGCATGAAGCTCAGGCTTTGGGTGATTTCTTGCTCAGTCAGCCCATCTGACAGGAGCGAGCCAGCAGTAAATCACACCCTGCAAGTTAACTCTTTATTAGCAAGAACATGATCTGCACAGACGTGGCCGAGTGTCAGGCCTAAGGAGCATAGCAGCTCATCCCCCGGCAGGTCTTGCCCCATGGATCAGTTGCTGAGACTGACAGTCCCCACCTCCCCACAGTTGTCTAAGGGTGGATCTAAGCACAGGGGCGGGGATACTATAAATAGGTCAGAAATTAGGTCATTTTAACAAAAGAAAAAAATCTCTATGGAAAACCGTGCTTTAAAATTCCTGCTCTTTGGCACCATCTGGTGTTGCATGTTTACAGAGCATTCAAATCATGGCTTCTTTATTAATGTAGCTGAGTCCTAAATCCCCTTGTCTCCAGGGTTTCCCCCAAGCAATCAGAGACTGCGCTTGCGTGAAGCTAACTTCTCTGCTCTCTTCATACCTCTTCTGGTTCTGAGAGACCAGGGGGAAGGGAGCTGTTCGCAGCAGAAGGGAGAGACATCTGCAACTTTTCACAGCCTGGCATATCTCTGCGTCTTGGCCTGCCTCCTCCCACTCTCCTGCTTCAACTTCTGCCTCTGATTCTGAACTTGTCTCTGTTTTTTCTCTGACCACTAAATGTCCATGACACTGGCTGCCGACTGCTTCCCAGAGGGCTCACCATCGCTTCTAGTGTCGCTTTTGTATAATGCACTTAAAACGTTACATTCGCAGCTGCATTCTGGAGAAGTGAAAAGTTTGCTCGCCATTTTGTTTTTCCTAATCAAATGTATTGCTCAACTTGGGCATCCTTTATGTTTCAAATATGTAATTTACTTGCAACAATGCACTGGCAGATTGCATCTCATTAAAATTCCGGTGACATTTCTGCAGCGTTCTATATGATGTAATTAAAATGTACATTTAATTTTTTTATGTACTTAGAGCATTGATATATTTATCATGGCTATATACACATTTCTGTTTACTCCGGCTCCTGTGCACTCCCACCTGGTGTTTGAAGCTGTGTACACATAACTTTAGACCACAGTCCATATCTACCCTGTTAGTTTCTAGAGAAATACTGCTGTTACATGCATTCCCGCCCCCCAATCAGCTTCCATATGCTTTGAAAATGTAAACCACAATCACTCTGTGTCCTGTCTTAGATGTACACACCTCAGCTGAGGTGTGTACATCTAAGACAGCCATTGCACATGTGCAGATGACAGCTTCATGGATAGGAGTTGAGGACAGCAGTGTTGCAGCAGGTGTATGAACCTAGGGTTGTCATACATCTGGAATTTCCCAGACGTAGCCGGAATTTGGCCGTCAGAAATAGCATCCAGGCAGAAAATTGGTAAAAATGCCTAGGAAAACCTGTCTGTATGGCAACCCATTTTGGAAGCGTTGGTTTTTTGGCGAATTTCCGAAAAAGTTGCTCAAAAACTTTATTTTTTTAGGAGATTTGGCAAAAGAGAGAGAGAGAGAGAGAGATTCCTTCGCTCTCTTTGGTGTGCATAAAGGTAAAGGGACCCCTGACCATTAGGTCCAGTCGTGGCTGACTCTGGGGCTGCGGCGCTCATCTCGCTTTATCGGCTGAGGGAGCCGGCATACAGCTTCTGGGTCATGTGGCCAGCATGACTAAGCCGCTTCTGGCGAACCAGAGCAGTGCACGGAAACGCTGTTTACCTTCCCGCCGGAGTGGTACCTATTTATCTACTTGCACTTTGACGTGCTTTCAAACTGCTAGGTTGGCAGGAGCAGAGACCGAGCAACAGGAGCTCACCCCGTCGCGGGGATTCGAACCGCGACCTTGTGATTGGCAAACCCTAGGCTCTGTGGTTTAACCCACAGCGCCACCCGCGCCCCTTGGTGTGCATAGCAATGTGCTAATGCAGCTTAAAACACAACAGGGGGGAATGAGCTCACTGTGTATTAAGCAACTAATATGTACATGGCCTAAATATAGAACTGTAATGGTTTGGAAGTAAATGAAAGAAAATAACTGGGGGTAGCTTGAGCTTCAGGTGTGATGCAAGCCTCCCATCTAGTGGACACAGCTCAAAGAGCTGCATTTGCTGTGTTAAGACTTTTGCTGCTAAGAGGAAGCCGCAATAACAGGAAGCACACCATCCTGCTCTTCTGCTGCTTGAAAACACCTTGTGGTTTTGTGGGTCTTTTGTGGGCCTCGGGATCTGTACAGCTTTGCAGAACGGGGATCGTGTTTTTCACAAAGTTTCTCCAGCTAAAGGGGCAGAAGAAGGCATTCTGGAGCCTAGGCATGAATTGGCAGATTAGATCAGTATTTCTCACTTTGAGCTCCTTAGAGGAAAGGTGGGGTTGTTGTTGTTATGCTACGAATTGCATGTTTCTCTACTGTAAGCTGCCCTGCGATCTCTGGCATAGCTGTGAACTTACAGATTTGAAAATAAGGGACCAGCAGCCTTGAAAATAAGGGACCAGCAGCCAAAATAAGGGACCTGCAGCCTCACCTGTTCCAGGCACTCCAGTCTTCCTGTCCTCCTGCAGTCTGGTCAAACTCATGCTGGGTAGCTTCGAGAACACCGTCCAACCAACTTTGTAACCAAAGGTTCAACTGAATAGAATCTGAATCACATGCACCACAAGGCCTATGCAGCCTCAACTTAAAATGGCTCCCCGGCCTGGCTTTGCACTGCAAAGTTTGCAGCAGCACGTGCAACAAAATGGCATCCAGCATCCAAAAACCCCCTCAGCTTGCATTAACTAGCCACACACAAGGCATGCAAGATCCACCCCCCAGTCGTTCTTAGACTTCTTATTTGGTGAGCAACACAGCCAAGCAACATAGTTGAAGCCTCCCTCCTCCCTGGCCGGCAGGGAGGGAGGGAGCTGCTTCCTTTGAAATTTAAGGGACATCATTTAAGGGACATTTAAGGGACATCCATCAATAAGGGACAGCAGCGGGACATGGCACTGGAATGAGGGACTGTCCCTTCAAATAAAGGACACTTGACAGCTATGGATGAAGGGCAATATGTAAATTTAGTTAATAAGTAATAATCATAATCATAAATAAAAATAACTTCAAAGAATTGTCAACTACATTTCTCCAATGCAGATGAACACTATTTGATGACACTTTATTATTTATTGGGTTGCAAGTAAATGCAAAGAGATAGGTTACAATTAACATCTATTTAGTGCTCAGCTATGGATGTTGTGTCCTAAAAGCCCAATTCTGGACAAACATACCCTCCAACATCCCACTGATCAAAATCGGGATGCTTGTTTTTCGTCTCTAGCTCTCATAGGAACCATGTGACTCGCTTGAGAGCACGAGACAAAAAAAGGGTGTCTTTTGGTCTGGCCAGTTGACTTGTGCCAGAGTGCTGGACCAAAAAATGGGACATTCTGGGATCCAATCAGAAGCCAAGATGGCTTCTGTAATTCCAGGCTGTTTCACTCAATTTGAGTGTTGGGGTATGTATGGGGTATGTTGAGGGGTATGGCTAAATAATAATAAAAATTACAACAACAAAAAATCCTGATCAAGCCTGAAAAAAAGGAGTGCAAACTTACTGCACAGCACCTTGCCCTGCGACCACACTTCATTTTTTTTCCTATTAAAAAAAATATTCTGAGGCAACGTTGAAAGAAAAGCTAACCTCATCTTGCAAATTGTATTAAAAACATTCACCTGAGCAGGCGCTTTTTAACACAACAGAAATGTGTCCTGTAGAAGAAATGTCATCAATAGGACAGAAAATGAATGTCATCTAATTGTATAATGTACAAACAATGCACAGGTAGATCTCTTTAAGGAGGGAAAAAATGGACATCTTAATTACAGGACAAATAATTATAGCTTCCTTATTTTTTCTTCTGCATTGGCAAACCACACAAAAAAATTTGGGATGTTACTAAGTAATCTGCAGCACCGCTTCTAATTTCTGTTCCGTTCTAGGGATGAGTGCACTTCTGCTGCTGTCGCTTTTTGATTCATGCTTTCCTCCAAAGCACTCAAACAGCAGAGAACGGATCCAGCTATGGTCCATGGTGAGTCATTGCCTTCTCAATCAGCGGCGGAGCAAGCCAATTGGGCGCCTGGGGCAGCTCCTGTGCCCTGCACCCAGGGGCGGGGCCAGCCGCCCCCAGGGAAGGGTGAGCCAGGACAGGACGCTCAGCAGGGCCTCCGAGGAGTCTCTCCTCCCACTCAGCCGCCCTACAGGTACCCAAGCCACCGCGTCACTCCCAGGAGAGACGCGTGGCTCAGGCGCGCTGCAGGCCCTGCAGTGAGTGCTGCCCGCCATTTTGTCACCCCCCTCAGTGGTGACACCCAGGACAGACCGCACCCACCGCACCCCCTTCCTCCGCCCCTGTCCTCAATGGCCCGCAGTGGCAATTGAATTATTTTTGTTGTGGTTCTTAAAAATGCAGTACAATTTATCCGAACATCAGAGGCACACTGCTTGAACGCTTGAGCCATTGCTACCCAACCTCAGTTCATACCACACATTACCCAGAATAATCAAAGCAAGAGATGCTTACATACTTGGGTTTTACACCTCTTGTGTTGAAGGAGGTACTGCAGGAATCCAACTCTGGTTCTCATCGCTGCACAAATTTTCAGTCTGAATGGTAATGGTGTGTGATGCCTTCTGGATCCTGCAAAGGGAGAGAACATTCAACCCTCTCTTCGACACATCACAATCTGCAAATAGCTAGCAGTTCAGCTGGTAAAGCATGAGACCCTTAAACTCAGGGTTGTGGGTTCGAGCCGCAGGTTGAGCAAAAATATCCTAGAAGACCCTCGTGGTCCCTTCCAACTCAGCAGTTATATGATTTCATGAGCTAATCTGGCATCGCAGAGTTTTTATTTTTTATTTTTAAAATAAATTTTATTAGTATTTATAACAACACGAAAAATATCGAAAAATAACAATACACAACACACAAAAATCAACATTCGAAAACTAAAGAAAGCAACAACTAAAAAACAAAACAAAAAATCCATATCTTACAAGTTAATACTATAAACACTAAAACAACAACAAGACATTGACTTCCACCAATCCCACAGCACCTCCTTTATCTCTCATTGTGTCTTCCTGTTTTCCTGTTTTCCTTATCATCTCTGTCCTAACATCTAGATATAAATCCCTCTTTCTTATCCTTTCACGTCACAAGGTAATTCCAAACTCAGCCAGATTTCTGTCCTCGAACCTTCAATTTTGAGGTATTCATTTAGGCACTCCCATTCTTTTTTTACTTCACTTTTTGGTTTAGCCAAATTGACAGACATAATAAGAGAAAAACCAAAAAGTGAGGCATCGCAGAATTTTTAAAGGAATCTATTCACATAGCATTTCAGTGTTCTGTAGTTTCGTACGTGTGAAGTTGCTTGTCTTCTAAGAAAAATAACTCACCTCTCAGATCAGCCTCTATACCTGAGGAATGGAAAGCATCCAATGTAACACCATTTTTAAAAGTGGGGGATCGAGGGATCCTGGAAATAACAGGCCAGTTGGTTGAACATCTGTCCCAGGAAAACTGGTGGAAAATATTCTTAACAAAGCAAGCCCAAGACGTTTTGGCACCTGAGGCAAAACCCTGAAGGGTGCTTCCCTCCGGCAAAGAAGAGGAAAGTAAAGATCTCCATCATGGTGTGTTTGTGTGGAATAAAGACCAACAGGGGGTCTGATCTGGCTAACAAGGAGCAGTAGCAGTGGCCAGGGTGTTCGTTGGAGGCTGGATCTGCTGTCCCCATGGCTCCTGCTGCCCGAGGCAGTTGCCTTGTCTTGCCTCATGGGTAAGCAGGCCCTGGCTATTAAAGATAAAATAGTTATGCATATTGAAGAACAACCGTTAATGAGACAGAGGCAGCTTGACTTCTGCAAGGACTATTAGCATTCTTTGAGGGTATCAGCAAACATACAGATACAAGAGATTGGGTTGGCACATAGTACTTGGTACCTCATCAAAGATTCCTGAGCAAGCTTAGCAGCCAAGGAATAAGAGGAGAGGTCTTCTTGTGGATCAGGAATTGGTTAAGTTTCAGCAAGCAATGGGTAGTAATAAATGGACAGTTCTCCAAATGGAGAAGGCAGGAAGGGAATGCTGTTGAAATTTCGAGGTCTCCTATACAGTGGTACCTTGGGTTACATATGCTTCAGGTTACATACGCTTCAGGTTACAGACTCCGCTAACCCAGAACTATTGCTTCAGGTTAAGAACTTTGCTTCAGGATGAGAACAGAAATTGTGCTCCGACGGTGCGGCAGCAGCAGGAGGCTCCATTAGCTAAAGTGGTGCTTCAGGTTAAGAACAATTTCAGGTTAAGTACGGACCTCTGGAATGAATTAAGTACTTAACCCGAGGTACCACTGTACTATTATACTAAGTCCTTGGGGAAAATCCATTGAAATTAATGAACCTATGAGAATCATAGAGTTGCAGAGTTGGAACAGACCCTAGTCATCTAGTCCAACCCCTGCAAAGCAGGAATCTCAACCAGATCATACATGATAGATGGCCACCCAAGCTTTGCTTAAAAACCTCCAATGAAGGAGAGTCCCAAAAGAGTCCATTCTTACTGCCATAAAATTCTTCCTGATGGTTAATCAGGATCTCCTTTTTTGTAACTTGAATTCATTGGTTCAGGCCCTACCCTCCGGAGCAGGAGAAAACAAGCTTGCTCCATCTTCCATGTGACAGCCCTTCAGATATTTGAAGATGGCTATCATATGTCCTCTTGGTCTCCTCTTTTCCAGGCTAAACATACCCAGATCCTTCAACCGTTCCTCATAAGGCTTGGTTTCCAAACCCTAAATCACCTTGGTTGCCCTCCTCTACACACATTCCAGCTTGCCAACATCCTTCTTAAACTGTGGTGCCCAGAATTGGACACAGTATTCCAGGTGTGGTCTGACTAAGGCAGAACAGAGAGGAACTATATTTCCCCTTGATCGGGATGCCATACTTCATGGCTATTAACGTCCAGTGATGTAGCATGTGTTGCCAGCTCCCGGGGCCACATGGAGGGCTGTGTGTGAGGGAGGGTTTCAGACCGAGTACACATGCGTATTCAGCTACTTAACAGTGTCCATGTCGCCCAGGAGATTGCAGCTGCAGAGATAAGACAAGAAGAGTCGTTCTGTTGCCTGGAAAGGTCACTTCCTGGTTCGTATGTTGAAATTATTTTGAATGGAGCCCAGCAACGGAATTGCTCAGCTGTATTGAGGTAGCACCCGGGTGCTGAAGTTTTGTGCCCCTAACAATTTTGCGCCCAGGGCAACCTTACCTGTGGGCTCCCCCACACTACACCACTGTTGACATCAAAGGATCTACTCTGAGTGGAAGTAGCATTGAATACCACCCACTTATGTCAGAATACTTGTGGTGGGAGGAGAGATAAATTTGGAGGCTTCTGCTGAAATGAGAGGGTGGTTGTGCCTTGCTCAGGGCTGCTGTTGCTCTCTGATATGAGTTGCACAATTCCCTGTTTAGTTTGAAAGAGATTCTTTAACAATATCATCATCATTGTAGTGGTAGGGTTAGAATTGCAGCCTCTGTGTGTGTGTGTTTCTCAGTTCCTCATTTACTCTGAAGATGTTGCCACCAATATCATAATCAATAATCACTGTAGTACTGCGGTCTGTGTGCTTTGCTGAATGCTTTTGTTGTTCCATCATCGGACAATAAAACACAGTGTTGTTGAATGAATGTTTTTTCATCTTCTTCATCATTATTATTTTGATGATCACAGCACATGAAGGTGAACGATGGAAATTAACGGCTCTAACTAGTCATTCATTTGTCAAACAAACCAACAAACCAACCCTCAGAGAGAATTAAAGAATGAAATCATCAGTAGAAATCGTTTTAAAAAAACACTCAATTCTTTAAAAAACAATTCTTCGAAAGATAAAATCATCCATAAACTAAAAACAGATTGGTTGCATAATTAATTGGGGTCGTTAGAGAAAGCATCGAGTCTGTTATGCGGTTTTTATTAGTTTTTACTAGTTTTATCAGCTTTTTATTAGCTTTTATCAGTTCTAGTATTTTATTGCTTGGTATCTTTTTCTTATAATCACAAGTTTAAGCTAAAAGTTTTAGAGAAAGCCCTGGAAAGTCTCAGAGAAAGCCTTAATTAGCTCCAGCTTGACTCAGTCTACCAATTTTTAAAAAACCAATTCTTCGAAAGATAAAATCATCCATAAACAAAAAAAGGATTGAAACATGCAACGTGTCTGGATAGGATTGTCTAAACAAAAATGTTTTCAGTAGGCACCCAAAGGAGTATGGTGAAGGCTGTGAACTATAAGGCATTTTCATTTGTTCAATTCAACTATTTCTGAATATATGCTATAAGAAAATGTTAGGCAACAGGACTCATGGCAAAGGTGCAACCTATTGAACCCCTGTTTTCATTCCACCTCCTGCCAATTTCAGAAAAGCAGTGCCTCCGCAGTGCTAAAGGGCTTGAAGAAGCAGGCTCAGAGGTGGGCAGTGATGCTTGCTATGACGACTAATTTTAAAAGGTCAGATTATAATTTAATCTTCACAAGAACCAGAAGCAATTACGTGGATCATTCCATGCCACTACACTTCCTCATTCGCTGACTTCTGTTTATCTCATGAAGTACACCACTTCCTTAGAGAACAGAAGGTACATCACCCTCAGGCAAGACACTTCTCAGCATCTAAGAAAGGCAAAAAGGTATGTGTAAAATACGCCTCATATGTACTTTGACCATTGCTGTCATAAGATGATTGCACAATTTTTATGCTGCTGCATTACTTAATTACTTAAAATTATACACATAATTGTATATAATAATGTGTGATGGAGCAAGGGAAGCTTGCAAATGTAAATATACTTACAGCAAGGGATATTTGTGCTGTAATTGTATTAACTGAAATGTATGTAAATGGATTTTTATTTCTTGTTTGCGGCCTGATCCTATTCATGTTCCTTTGGAAATATGGGGGTTTTCAGTGCCATCCAATGCACGTCAACTGAGAAGTAAGTCCTACTGAGATCAGTCAGACTTATATCTCCAGGTAGGCATGTCAAGGAATACAGCTAGGGATAGCATATAAATTTGATTCGGGATGCGTTTAAAGTCAAATCTGCCAAATCTGCGCTTTCCAAACAAATACATCAACTGAAAGAAGAGCTATCCCTCGAAAGTCATTTTACTGAATTTTACAATGCAGTTTTCGGAGCAAACAAGGTTTACAAAAAATGCCTATATGTGGGGCAGGTGTGTATAAAAATGTGTTAGATTAGCAAAAACTGCTTGCAAAAATGTGCACATGAGTCAAAACTGCATATAAAAATGTTTATTAGGAGAAATTCAAACCCATAAATGGGTGAATTTTCATGGCCATTTTTTTAAAAAAAGCTACGGTAATTGATTTAAAATGTAGAGAAATGAGAAACTGAGAGTACTAAAAGTGGCAGATCTTTCTATCCCTAATTGCAGCCTTATTCATATGTAAGTGTGCACAGGGTAAGTGGACAAAACCTGAGAATTACATCTATTTCAGATACACAGTTCAGCATAGCAAAGCTCCTTTACAGAGCCACTTCCTCGAGGTTAACAACTACTTAATTTCTATGTACATTGGTCCTCTTTGTTCATAAAATAAAAGTGTGCATGCAAGGTAAAAGACAGTTAAGTCTACTCACTTGATAAGTGGGTGGTTTGTGAGTATCCACACAAAAAAAGCCTTTGGAAAAATCTGCACATGGTAGCCATAACCTCTGATGAACCATTTGTACTCACCTGGTCATGTGCATAAACTGTCATGCATAGCAGTTGATTTTTAGCTTCTGGAAAAAACAGCGTTTTCCAAACACCCACGAACCCTGCATTTGGCAGTGGATGCACATGATGTCCTTTTCACAAGGAGGGGATTACTAGGCACAGATTTCCCCCATGCAGCGAGTAGACAGCTTCTGCTTCTGGTTTCTGAACTGCACTTGTGGTAGCAGGTTGACATGCTTATAATATTAGTATGTGACAATGTTGATTTCCGCGCCATTAAAAGTTTTGATCTGTAGAGTCCTGCATGTCAACCTTCTGCTACAGGCTCTGGAGAAATCCTTTATCTGACCCGTTGACATCCTTACCATATGGTAATATGGTAATATGCCCTTACTGATTTCATTGGGTATTTCCATCTGTTCTTAGCCTTATTTCTTTATTTCATAGAATGGATATACTGCTGGGTGGTAAAAACTATGAGTACAGCAAGGTGAATTAATGACAGACATCAGACTGTTTCTCTGTCCGGCAGAACCCTTCAAAACAAAATTGCGAGCCCTGAAACAAGCTCAAGTAGGAGCAGTTGGAAGCAGTCTGTGTGGGTTAGCCATTTCATATGCTCTATCTCTCAGTAAGATTCAGCACTAGAAATAGTTATGCTGTAGATATTTATGAAAGAGGTGAAAAGTTCCTGAAAATAATCGCCAAACCTATAAAGCAACGAGAAAGCATAAGATTAAGAAAGATAAGCCAAAATTTCTTAGCCCCTCTTTGGTCAAAAACTGGCCATTGCACAAAAAGACATTTATCTATTGCCAAGTTTCTATTGCTTTATTTAAAAGAAATATTTAAAAAATCTAAATTCTTTTTTAGAAATCCTTAGGAATCCCTGGCAATCAGCTCTCTGTGGAGCTATAGGCTTCTCACTCCTGCATTCTCATTCTGTTTTTTAAATCTTTGCTCAAAATAATCTCTAGCAAGTTTATTCAGAAGTAAATTCCACTTTCCATGGGATTACTTCTCAGATAGGTGTGCACAGGATTGCAATTTATGGCTGTAGCCATAACCCCATTTATCTAGCAGTAAGCCCCATTGCATTCAATAAGGTTATATTTCTGAACAGACAAGGATTGTGCTGTACGTTACCCTGGGTGTGTGGGGGGGACCTTTCAATTTTGACTCACTTCATCCTTCTATTTAGGTACCAAAAAGAAAATGACCTCTACTGACGAAGCATTGGCTGCCACAGGGTGGGACGCATCATTTTCCACCTATTATAGCTACGAGGATGATCCTGAACCATGCAGCAAAGATGAAGTGAGGCATTTTGAGTCCTGGTTCCTTCCCACGTTTTTCTCACTCGTGTTCCTGCTTGGCTTGGGAGGGAACGCCCTCGTTGTCTTGGTCCTGTTCAAATACAAGAGGCTCAGAAGCATGACGGACATCTACCTGCTCAACCTTGCCATCTCTGACCTTCTTTTCGTCCTTGCTCTTCCCTTCTGGTCGTATTACGTGGCCGACAAGTGGGTGTTTGGAGACGGCTTGTGTAAATTTGTCTCTTGGGTGTACAAGATTGGATTTTTCAGCGGGATCTTCTTCATCATGCTCATGAGCATCGACCGGTATCTCGCCGTCGTTCACGTCGTGTTTGCCTTGAAAGCAAGAACCGTCAGCTACGGCAGCCTTGCCAGTGTTGTTGTGTGGCTAGTGGCTGTCACGGCGTCTGTCCCAGAGCTGATATTTAGCAAGTCGGTTAGCTACTATAACTACACCATGTGCAGGGCAGAATATTCTAGGAACGACACAACTTGGAACCTTTTCACCTCCTTGGAGATCAACATTTTAGGCCTTCTGATGCCATTCATTGTCATGTTATTTTGCTACACAAGGATAGTCATGACCTTGCTCCACTGCAGAAATGAAAAGAAGAAGAAGGCTGTAAAGATGATCTTTGCTGTTATGATTGTGTTTTTTGTGTTTTGGACCCCTTATAGCATTGTACAGTTCCTACAATGTTTGGCTGAAGTGGGCATTTTGGAAGGATGCCTGACCAGCAAAAACTTGGACTACGCAGCTCAGGTGACTCAAACTCTAGCATTTTTCCATTGCTGTCTCAATCCTGTTATCTACTTCTTCATGGGACAGAAGTTCAAGAAGTACATCAGATTGTTCTTTAAGAAGTGTGTCTTCTCGAAAATATTTTGCAAATCTTGTGGACGCCCTGATACATTCACCTCCGAGTCATCAGGCTCAATCTACACTCAGTCCACAAGTGACGAAGAGCCCCTCTGAAAAGCCTGAGGTGGTCTCGTGTGAGATCAGGCCAAAATGTGATGCTATCTCAGGTATCAGAACAATTGTGAGTTTGTTTTGCCAGAAACCAGAGGCTGTGTGTTGACAAATAAGCACAGCCTAATTGTAAAGCTTTGGACATGGAAAAGAAAAAGGAGGAAGCCATCTTGGGAACAAGAATTCTCATTTTACTCCATTTCAGTTCTGCAGCCAACTTAAGCACCTGAGCATTAGGGATAGGCAAATTTCTCAATATCTGTTTATTGTTTTTCCTATCTTAAGTCTACTTCTCCAGGTTTCCACAATGTTCTGAGAAACGCCTTAGAAGAAAGTACTCATGAAAATTAACCAGGATTTTGGCATGAATTTTCCCCAGTACCCAATTATTGAATTCAATTTTTATACACATACTCAGCTGGGGGACCGTGTTGCAAAATTAAGAAAAGGGCAAATTTCAAGAGATGGTGGTGTTTCAGTTGACATATTGTTTCGTAAAATACAAATTCTTCAAACTCGCCTTTAAATGCAAACTGAATCAAATTTCTATGCCATCACTCTTCATCATCTTATGAGTTTCTTTTCAAGTCATCACATGAGATCTACTTCCCAAGTCCTTTTTGGGCTTCCACCCACCTCATTTCAGTGAGAGGATCGCTTTAAACCACCTCATAGTTTATTCTTTTTATAAAAAACACACACCACCTGTTAGAGTCATTGTACATCTCAGAATTGCCTTAGAGTTTAACATGACTCTAACAGGTGGTGGTTTTTATTATTATTATGTTATTAGCTATAATACTTCTAAATGTGATCTGAACTGCTCTGTATCTTAGGTCTGGCTATATAATCTAAAGTTATTTTATTTGCCCATGTTGACTGCCCAAAATATGAACTACATTCTTTTGCATAGGTATGTGATTAAATGCAAGTCTGTGGGAACATAGGACTCACTAGGTATTGCCGCTGTTTCCAGGTTAGACTGTCTCCCTCTTAATATAGGGCCATCTACTTGATGTACTCCCCTGTTGTCCATGACCTGTCCCACTTGGTGTGGGTGGGTGTGTTGGCCATTTTGGACTTTTATTGAAGTTATTTCATTTAAAAGAAATAAAGTGCTACAGAGAAAAAAGAAGGAAAAGTGAGAGGGAAAACAACAACAACAACAAAGATACATATAAAAGTGAAAATATAAGCTCTCTCTCTCTGAGAGATATTCCCATACATTCTTGTATAAATTGGTATAGTGTTATTGTCCTAGTGCTTATGTAAATGTTAAGAGCCTACTACATTTTGTATAAGCTCATTCCAAATATCCATTCATGAATTGTAAGTGATGTCAATTTGTCAGTTCATTGACTGAAGGGTATCATACCTTTATTTTCCCCCCAAATCCTCAATATCAATCTCTTGGCCACCATTAGAGCATGGAAAATCCATTTCCATTGTCCCGTTGATAATTTCCACACTGCAGGTATATACTGTATTTTTCTGTGTATAAGATGCTCCCATGTATAAGACGCCCCCTATTTTGGGGGACTTGCCAAAGCCAACAGCAGCCGGCAGCTTCATGCCCAATTGACACAGCGGCAGCCAATCCACAGCAGCCCTTGCCGCAGCAACCAATCACCCACCAAATCGCCACTGACAAGCTCCTGCTCACGGCTGCAACCAATCACCAGTCCACCCTATGCACTATCCATGTATAAGATGACCCCTGTTTTTAAACATTATTTTAGAGTAAAAAACCCTCATCTTATACATGGAAAAATACGATAGTTCAATAAGATATTCTCCGACAAAGATTTAACTTTTTCTGCATAGTCATAGTTACACAGTCCAACACTTTCTTCCAAAATGTAAGCATAGAACACTGTATGAACATATGTTTCAAAGAGGCATCGTCCTTGCCAATGATTAGGAAACCCTCCACTTAAAGGGGACAAGGTCTGGGATAACACTGGAATGGGGATGATATCATGTGGAAACCCCTATATTAATGAGGAGATAGGCCAGTGGAAATCCACATTTTGCTCTGGTGTGGACAAGTCCATAGAAATAACCTTAGAACTGGTACAAGATCCTCTCTCTATGGACGCAGTTTGGCTCCCCACACAAAGACTTTCTTGCATGCATAGTTGATCTTTCTCTTCCTCCACCACCACCCAGATTGCCTCTTCAGAAACCAAAATAAGAAATGTTGATTGTTTGTGTTCACTTAAAAACAAATACTATTAATAAACAGCTAAACATATTTAGTGATTTCCTCATGGCCAGCAATCCTGTCGTTCAACAGAAATGTTTATTTTAACCTATGAACTGATAACACAAGAAAAGTATAAGTTGAATGAACATCTATTCACAAACGTTTCTGCTTCTGCTTACTTATAATTGCCATCTTTCTTAAGCAAATGCCGTGAAAAAGTTAGATTTATGGATGAATTTGTCCAGACTTTGTGCAAGAATAATGGGAAATGAATTACAAACACCTTGAACTAAGTGACTGGCATAGTTTTTTGTTTTGTGAGAAGGAAGGGCATTGGATGAGTGGAATGAGAGCAATTGATGTTGATGAAAAGCTGGAGCTAAGGAGGTATGAGCCTAGCTGAACTCTTGTATAAGAAACCCCTGTGAGCCCCATGTAGGATGTGGGGGGAACCTTTGGTCTTCCAGATGTTGTTAGCAACATCTGGAGGGCCAACAGTTCTAACATCTGGTGTAAAAATAAGCTACAAGTTTAAGCTTTTTAAAAAACAAAATTATAAATAACTGACTTGTACTAAAACTTTAAACTAAATTGTACTGACTTTCAACTAACTTGTACAAAAAATAAAGAACACTGAATGCAACTTCTCTCTCTTTTAAATTTTTTATTCAAAATTAAAACAAAACATATTATCCAAAAACATATCATCCTTATTTTTCCCCCCATTTTCCCTCCCCCCCAACCCTCCCACACAAAACCCACCCAACCCACCCCCCGGCTTCCCTCAGTTCCAGTCTTTGGTTTCTCTGAGAATGCTGTTTTCTGCATGTTACAAAGTTGTATAGATCCTCAAACTATTTAGGTGATTATTATCAATAAAAAGTTTGTGAATGTTTATTCAAAGCCAGCCAAGGAGTCCAGTTCACTTTGCTGCGTCTTCAAATACTTTGTAAAGGGTTCCCATTCATCTTTAAAGTCACAGTTATCCCTGTCCCTTAGCTTGTATGTCAGTTTTGCCAGTTCTGCATAGTCCATCAATTTTTCTTGCCATGATTCTTTATGCAACTTCTCATACACAGACATCCTTAAGAAGTGTGCATGCACACGAAAGCTTATACCAAGAACAAACTTAGTTGGGCTCTAAGGTGCTACTGGACATTTTTTTAATATATTTTGACTGCGTCAGACCAACACGGCTATCTACCTGAATCTATAGGCATCTTATGTTTACCTTCTTTGCTTTCTCCAAACCCTAATGTTTGTAGCTTCTTGATGGGTATAATATTCAATACCCTTGGATGTGGGTGGCGCTGTGGTCTAAACCACTGAGCCTTTTGGGCTTGCCAATCAGAAGGTCAGCGGTTCGAATCCAGTCAAAGATGACTATGGGATTGTGGTCTCATCTCGCTTTTTAGGCCAAGGGAGCCAGTGTTTGTCCACAGACAGCTTTCTGGGTCATGTGGCCAGCATGGCCAAACCGCTTCTTGCACAATGGAGGACCGTGATGGAAAGCAGAGTGCATGGAAACACCTTTTGCCTTCCTGCGGCAGCGGTACCTATTTATCTACTTGCACTGGCATGCTTTTGAACTCCTAGGTTGGCAGGAGCTGGGACAGAGCAATGGGAGCTCACTCCATTGTGGGGATTCGAACCTCCGACCTTCTGATCAGCAAGCCCAAGAGGCTCGGTGGTTTAGACCACAGTGCCACCCGCGTACAGTGGTGCCCCACAAGACGAATGCCTTGCAAGACGGAAAACCCGCTAGACGAAAGGGTTTTCCGTTTTGGAGGTGCTTCGCAAAACGAATTTCCTATGTGCTTGCTTCGCAAGACGAAAATGTATTGCGAGTTCCTGCGGGGTTTTTTTCCTTCCCCCCCCCTTTTCCCCAAGCCGCTAAACTGCTTATCAGCTGATCGGCTAAGCCGCTTAACAGTTGATCGCTAAGCCACTTATCAGCTGATCGTTAAGCCGCTTATCAGCTGATCCTTAAGCCGCTTAACAGCTGATCGCTAAGCCGCTTATCAGCTGATCCGCTAAGCCCGCTAAGTCGCTAATACTGTAGCGCTAATCCGCTAAACCGCTAATGGGCTTGCTTCGCAAGACGAAAAAACCCGCAAGACGAAGAGACTCGCAGAACGGATTCTTTTCGTCTTGCGAGGCACCACTGTACTAGTTATATTAGTACCATGCGATGCAAAGGAAAATCAGTTAAGGAAATAAATATGAAGGGATATAATAGTTGTGCTATCCCATGTATTAAATCTTTTAAACAAGAGTATCTGTCAGGGACTGGGCAGAGGAGAAGGATGCTGGAGGGGGTGTGTCAGGGACTGCACAGAGGAGGAGGAATGGTGGAGACCACTTCCCCATCCTGGAGGAAGAGGAAAACAGTGTAGATTTACAACAGGGGTTTGTAGAAAGTCACAGCTCAGAAAATGATGAGGGGGAAAGTTGGGAAATCATGGGAGATTAGGAGCAGCAGCTCGCTGACACGTCATTCCAGACCCACCCTCTCCCAGAACCCGGCGAGCCTTAAAAGTAGGAGAGCAAAGAGCTTGAAGACAAAGGGCAGTTGGTGGCACCCATAGAGGAGGTGATGAGAATGATGAATGAGGAAGTGGGAGAGACAGCGGGTGGAAATTCACTCAGGACAACACTATTATCCAAGAGGCTGGGTTCTATAGTCTCTCTGACTTTGAAATAAGAAAAAACTGTAAGGAACTTTTCCTTGTCTTTATACTTTCCTGGGCAACCAGCTGGGAACAGCTGACAGCATCCTGACAGTATCTCAACCGAC